ACACACACACACACACACACACACACACACACACACACACACACACACACCCCCTTATGCTAGGCTAATCTGAGTTTAGTTCTTATGCTTCAAGAATGAATATCTGGGTCCATAAAATTCATTATGCTCTGTTAAGCCTCTCCACACTTTCTCTTACATTATAGCTGAGAAAACTGAAATTGTAGAAAGGGAAAAAAGGGGGACTTCTAGGAAATACATAAGCCAAAGTTTGAACTAAAATCTTTTGATTTCAAATTGGGTACTAGCTGTGTGATTCAGGGCAAGTCACCTAACCCTGTATGCCTCAGTTTCTTCATCTATTAAATGAACTGGAGAATAAAATGGTAAATCATTCCAGTATCTTTGCCAAAAAAAACCCCAAAACACACAAAAAGGGTCATGGAGAGTCCAACATGACTGAAACAACTGAACAACAACAACAGTAAAGGGTCTGTCACAGATTTTGTCTTGCTGGAATACTTCTTAGACTCAAGGCTTACTCCAAGCCATGGCAAAGCATAGAAGGACTTTAGTTAGAAATCTAATGATGAAAAATTACATTCAATATCTACTGGTTCACAGTGTGGTAGAAAGGGAAGGGGAGATATAATGGACACCCAAAAAATTAAACATAAAGCAGAGTGGGATAAGAGCTAAGGAGAGAGCAATGGCTCTAGTAAAATTTGGAAAAGGATTGATCGCTTTGATCTGGAGGGCGGGAGAGTGGGGTGATGGTCAGGAAAAGCTTCATGGATGAGGTAACATTTCCCTAGAGGAAGAGAAAGCTTTCAGCAGCAGAGATGAGGATGGCAGAGTACATTTTTGGCATGGCCAGTACAAACCTGTGGAGGCAGGAGAGGGTGGAGGCAGTGTCAGAAGAGGGTGTGTGCAAGAGATGTGTTGAAGGCAGAATTGAGAGCACTTGGCAATAAATTGGATAGAGGGGGTGAGAGAGAGAGAGAGAGTAAAGAGTTGAAGATGTCATGTAGGTTGTGAACTCAGGTGATTGAGAGTATGGTGGTGCCTTTGACAATAATAGGGAAGTCAAGAGGGAGGGATAAGCAGTTCAGTTTTGGACATGCTGAGTTTAAGATCTATAGTTTAAATTTAAATCTATAGAATATCTGGTTCAAGATGTTCGATAGACAGTTGGAAATTTGAGACTGGAGAACAAGTACAGAGTAACAGAAATCCTTTCTCTCTGTTTATTTCCCAGGTATTCTGATCCTGCATGTAAAGTGGTCACTCTCCATTTAAGTGACTGAGAGAAGACTCATTTGGATGGCTAACCTTCTCCCTTTTCACCTCAGAAAGCAAACACAGGAAAGATGACTTTTCCTTGTTGGAAGTTTCAAAATCTTATAAGGCGAATCAAGTATGAAGCCCTGAATGGGGCATGCGGGATGTGGGGTCCATGGATCTGGGTTTGATTCCCAGTTATGTTATATCCTACAAGGGCAACCTGGGCCAAGTCAAACATTTTGAGGCTCTGTTTCCTCACTTACCCAATAAGAGGGAGGGGGGGGCAAACTAGATGAACTCTGTGGTCTCTTCTAGCTCTAAACCCTATGATTCTGAGGCCTCTATATTCTTGCAACTTCCTAAAGGTCAGCACCTTGAAAGTTAAAGAGGGAAGAAAACATGAGAGAGAAAGAGGGAGGGAAGAAGGAAGAGAGGGAGAAAGAGAAAGAGAGAGAGGGAGGGAGAAAGAGGGAGAGAGAGAGAGAGAGAGAGAATTTTTCCTCCATAGGTTTAAATTTCACCCAAGTACCTCTTGAATTTCATTGGGACTGGGGGTGGGGGTGGGGTGAGTGTGCAGAAGAGGCTCAAGATGTCTTTATTTTGCCACTAAAGGAGTAATCCTTTTGGCCTGGAAGCTCAAGAGCTTAGTGTTTCACTTCATTTAGGGCCATCTCCAGTCATCCTGATCTCTATCTTGCCACTTGGCCCAGATGACTCCAGAGGAGAAAGCGAGGCTGATGACTTTGCACATTCTTCCTTCATTTAAATCCAATTCACTCGCAAATCATGGCATCACTTTTCTGATGTCATGGTCCTCTTAGAGAATGAAGGACAAACAACAACAACAACAACCTGTTTCACCTCATGTGCCGTGTCCCCCCTTCCTCCCAAACCTCCCTTGCTCCACAGGGCACTTTATTCTGCATTCCCCATAATGGGGCAGCCTCTTCCCATGAACATTGACTGTCTCTGGACCCAATCTCTCCCATTCTGCTCCAAGTGAAACTGCTCCTGTCAAACATAGGCATCTATCTCAGTGGAGACCCAGGCTTAAAGATTGAATGAAGACATGGAGGAGCTCAAGGCTCCAGATTTTGTAAAGGAACTTCTGGTAATTATAGGCTTCAGAGTTCTTCTGATCCTATTCCATTCTGCACTGGAGGCATGGAGCAGTCATGACACAGTTATGTGCAGTCACTGCCCAAGCATTGCATGGCATCTGTACTGTTATTATTGCATGGTCACTGCATAGCCGCTTCATAATTATTGTGTAGGCATTATAAAGTTATTTAGTTACTCTACAGTTTATTGCACAGCTACTATAAAATTACTATATGGCTTCTCTACAACTGTTTTATCCTTATTGTCAGTTACTGTTACTCTTTCATATTTAGTACAGAATTATTGTACAATGTGGAGTTTGACTGGGTTATTTGTATGATGTCTGAATTGACTGTTTCTATCAAACTGCTAGGCCCTCTCCAGGTATTGGACTTGGGCCAAGTAACAGCCAATTGTATTTACTTGCTAAAGATCAAACTGATAGTTTATTGGGCAAATGTCACACATCAGATAAATGTGCCATTTCCGCTCAAGTCATTCCTCCTGGATCCCAGAAATCCCAGCCTCTAAGATGTTCAGGGGCAAGGATATAGTCAAAATTCTTACTACCTGGAAGACTGTCCTGGTGCCTTTTAACAGGCATGGCCCTAGGTGGGGGCACCTGCCCAGTAAAGGGGGATGCCAGCTTTTTTATACAGCAAGCAGAATGATTCAAACACATCATTCAGCTTGCAGCACCTGAGGAATGTCTCAGCAGGGATCAAACCTTGTAACTCAAGTAAAAGTCAATGCCATCAGGAGAATCAAGTACTGTTATATGAGGGGCCTTTGGCGTTCGAGAATGCCACTGACTTCTTTTATTAATAAGATGCCAGTATTATTAATAAAATTATTAATTCCCCAGAAATTGTCTCTTGAACTTTTTGAATGCCACAATAGCAAGAATCTTGGAGTTTGAAATACTTGGTTGCCAGTCATGTGACCCTGAGGAAGTTATTTCCTTTTATGGAGCCTCAGCTTTCTCATCTATAAAATGGGTATAATCATACTAGCACTTTTCTGCTTCAGATAGCATTCATGAACAAAGCCCTTTTGTAAATTGTAAAGTGTTAAATAAATAGGACATTTTGTTATTATTGTCTTTATTTCTATCACAGTATGTAAAACCCTTTTCTACATCCTAATGGGGAGTATGTGAAAATAATGAAGACATAGATGATAACTGCCAAGTGGCTCATTGTCTAGCTGGGAATTTATAATTTATTAGGGTGAGATGCACAGTTCAGTTGAGACACAGCCCCTGTCTTATTAGCTAGAGCTTACAATCTAGCAAAGGGACTGTAAAGAAGGTGTTTATTCTCCTAACATCGTCTGAAAGTCACAAAAGGAAGGGGGAAAGCAAGCATTCATTAAGTGCTTATTTTGTGCCAGGCCCTGTGCTAAGTCCTTCACAAATAGATCATCTCATTCGAGCCTCACAACAGCCCTGGAAGCTGAATGTTATTATTATCCTTATTTTGCATTTAAGGAAACTGAGGCAGGCCGAAGTTAGGCAATTTGCCCAGGGTCACGCAGCTAGTAAAGGCCAGCTTTGAATCCAGGTCTTCCTGACTCCAGACCCAGTGTTTTCTGTACTGTCCCACAGAGCTAGGGCTGGGGCAGGGAGGGAGGAGAGGAGAGAAAGAGGGAAAGAGAGGGATGATCCCAGGGTTTGCCATATCATAGCAAAATACCACATCCTTTCAGTGAGGAGTCATCATATTGCTGGAAGCAGCTATGAGGTTAATCTACTCCAATAGGCCCTAATGCTGAATACCTGGAAATGTGCTCTGAGAGAAGATGCCCTCTCCCTACACTCCGCCAACACAGATAAGTAAGACACACAAGATATACAGACTATGCA